AGAGAGAGAGAGAGAGAGAGAGAGAGAGAGAGAGAGAAGAGAGAGAGAGAGAGAGAGAGAGAGAGAGAGAGAGAAGAGAGAGAGAGAGAGAGAGAGAGAGATCCTATCTGTTTTATACCAAACTGACTGCAAAATAGCAGCCCTGCAACAAGGGTTGTATGGTACATTGGGGACAAGGCCTTCAGCCATGAAGTTTGGCTGCTTAGCTTGCTGGACTCTGCCAGCCAAAGAAAGACAAAAAGACGGCAAACCTGCAGGATATGGGGGGGGGACAGGATGGGGAGGTGGGATTTGCAGGGAGAGGACTTCGTAGATGAGCCCTAGGTTATCCTTGAGGATGCATGTTACACACTTAAATTAGTTGGAACAATATTTTTGTGAGAAAGTGTGGACCTTGCCTGAGATCTTGAGTTCTGCCCCTTTTAATTACAGTAGGTTCCCGATTACTTCGTAAATTAATTAATTATTTTGCCCAAAAACGAAATCTTACGAAGTGAGAAAAACAATTCCTGTCCTCAAATACGAAGTGTTACGAAGTGAAAACGAAGTGCAAAATAAAAGAGTTTTCTATAAAAGTGGTAGGATTTGGAAAGATGGCGAGCAGAAGATGGGGAACTTCACCCCCCTGACCCAGCCTGCTGCTTACAGCCAGGCAAACAGCGAGATGGGCATCTCAAAGAGCAACATCAGGCCCATGCCAGCAAGTAGGGGTCACGGACGTCCTTCAGGTGAGCAGCGCACACAGAACAGGGTGCACATGTGTACAGCTAGACAGCTGTCGCAAAGTTCACGCTGAGCAGTGCGTCTTCCTCTCTTGCTCTTTCTCCCCCTTCCCTCCTTCCCCCGCAGTTGGGCGGCCCATCCTGATGCCCAAAGCTTCTTGCTAAGGGAGACCGTTGCCTTGCAGCCTAAGTTGCACATTACGGGGATACAGGAACGGATACGGGAACGGATACGGTTACGGTTACGGGCGGTGTGGTACAGGGGATACGGATGTTGCAAAAGGGCATTTGTGAGGGCCAAGAGGCTTCCCCAAGCATTGAAGGCTTACGAGAACACCTATACACATCAGATCATGCACAAAGGAGTGGAAGAAAAAGAGTTTGCAAGGCAACAACACGCACGGAGGAATAGTGCAACCAATTAATAGCTCCAGCACTCATGGTGAGCGCATGGACCTTCTCTTTTTATTAAACGCAATAACTTGAGCATAYTTCCAGTACAAGACATCAAGRCTCACATCAATGTACACTCTCATTCTGGAGCGTATCTGTGCATGTGAGGGACATGGTGCCACCAACATCAAACACAGGAAAGTGTTGCTTCAAGCATGTCAATGTRCAAGTAGTTTTGAATGCATTTCTGAAGTGTTAAACCTCATGTGAGATATGCAACAAGACACTCATGGCAGAGTTTACACCACAAGCAAGCACATTCAATTCATGCATGCACCTTTTTCAGAGCAGAGGTGCGGTATGTGTCGTAGCCGAGGGGATACAGGCCAGGCCCTGCCTTCCTCACTGCCTCCCATGCATGTGGCCACATTTCAAACCAAGCAAGGTGCCTGGTGACATTGAAGGGGATGCCCAACTCATACAGGAAATTGGCTATGGCCTCCTGTGCATCTGCATGATTCAGCACTCGAGTGAAGGAGGTTATTGGAGCTTGCATGCTTGCACTGCTACCAATACTGGCCCTGGCGGCTGGYCCCACCCCCTGCTCAGCCTGCATGGCTCCAACCCCCCTGCTCARCSTGYATGGCTGTGGCACCTCCTCAACAACATCTTCATCATCATCCTTTGCCGGGCGCTTCTGGCCTGATTCCATGCCCAGATGCTGCAAGGCAACTTGGCACACATCCTGGGTAACCTCCTRGCACCTCTTTGCTTCTGCTCCTGGCTTCCCCTTGATGCCCGCAAAGTGGACAATTATCCTGGTGRCAACTGCGTAGGCATCACCACAGACCTTGCACCGGAGCTTGTCCGCCTTCTGCCCTCCAGGCGGACCTTGGTGCAGTGCTGCTGGTCAGCCCCAGTCATATTATCATCGTAAACAATACTTAATAAAACAAATAACAATGTTGGACAGCTCTCGCAACGGAAGGGGGGAGGCGGTTGGTACTGGGAGGCTCCCCTCCGCCTGCCCGTCAATCCGTGCCATGTATCAATACGGAATACGGAACAGGTGGTACGGATCGGCGTATCAGGGGGTCTGATACGCGTATTGTGCAACTTAGGTCTTAACCGCTCCCACGAGGTGGACCGGCCTCCCAGCCCCAACGAGCACGCCCTTCGCACGCGCACACCTGCAGCAACGAACACAGCATTTCTTCATCCTCGATGGTGTGAGCTGCAGCGCAGGTGAAGGGAGAGAGGCGATAGGTGGTAATTTTCATCAAAGGGGATTGCTCCTGTCCAGCCTCTTGCTTCCCCTGCATGCACACGCACAGCATCAGCAGATGTGAGTGATGCATCCTCTACCATATGCATGCTCAGTGTAGGGAGCATCCTGTGGAGGGCAGGGAAGGGCACGCATGCATCCATGCATTGAGCAGTTACCAATGCCGGCACACAGTCCTGGAGCCGGCCAGCACCATGCAGCTGCTCCAAATGTGCCTTGGGTCCAGCTGGTGAAGGGCTTGAGGAGAGCGAGCGGCGGAGAGGGAGTTCTGCCACGGTCAAAAATTTGCACAGAGGTCAATCACGAAGCAACGTTGGCCTGACTATTATCTTTGGTTTATCAAATCAAATTAAATTTATTTTTTGTTTTACTGAAAGCTCAGGTACAACCCTCATGAAAAAGCGCCAAGTGCTGCACAACCGAAATTCCCGCTTGAAGGCTCCACCCCACTTCCTTCCCAGCAAAGCCTTTTATGCATTCATCTTGAAACTGTAAGTATGGTATTTCCAGCAACTCACTGCAGCTGCCTCTGCATGCAATTTTGGGGCACCAAAAATGCAAGTCCTTGCAACCTCAGCTCATAATTTTAAGAGCAAACAGGAGGGTAAAAAAAAAAAGTAGTGGACGTCATGGGTAAATTTTGGTCGGGACCCCCCTGACCCACCCACCCACCCCAAAACCCCCCTTCCCGTGCTCTAATGCAGACAAAAAGGGTACCAATCTGCTCCTTTTGAAATTCCCTATCCATCTGCATACTTTTGGTTTCCAAAAAGTGGATGGGTGCAGAGTTATGGGGCAAAAACTGAGATGCGGACGCTCATGCATGCATGCCTTACCAGGCACCCACAGCTGGCTTCCAAGTCCACAAATCACATTTCTGACTTCAAGATGCCTGTGTGCATGTTGTGTTGTCTCTATCCTGGGAGTTTGGAATGATTTGGGGCACCTTTGCAATATCACCCCTCTGGCTGACACCAGTGCGCGTACGACCTTGACACTCTGCCATGCACACAGACCCCCCCTTTAATTCAATTTCATCAAAGAGGGTGCCAATCGACAGTTCTGGAGCTCAGGATTCCAGATATATATTTAAAATTTCGAGAAAGTGCCTCAGAAAAAAACTGGAGGGGGGGTCCCAAAAAGTCGAAACCCCCCTGAGGGACCCACCCCTACCGACCTTCACCGTTCGGAACCATATATATACCAATCGATAGCTCTCGATCCCAGGATTCCGAATATGGGTGTCCCGATCAGATTGACCCTTGACGTCCAAAAGTTATGCTTCCTGGGGCCTCCTGGAGCAAAAGACTTAAGATGTAGTTCAAAAGGAAACTCTGCACAAAAACATGCATTTTAAGAGGGCAAAACGCCCAAAATGAGCATTCTCACCCCACGGGCCCCGCATGCTCAACCGGCCCCCCTGGAGTACCCCATGGAGCACCCCTGGACCCCCCGTACGGGGGGGGGGGTGCAGTAGGGAACGCTGGAGAGTTCAGCAGGGATTCAGCAGGGATTGGACTAACCCTGTAGAGCAGGCTGCCAGCAGAGCAGTGGTGTCATCTACATACTGCACTGCTGGAATGCGCGCCCCCCCAAGCGCGATGCCGAGGTCCGGCTCGGAGAGAAGCCAGCAGGAGAGCGCCCAGCCCACAAAGAGGTACATGGCAGGGGCAAGGGGGCACCCTTGCCTAATCCCGGCCTCCCACTGCATGGGCGGAGACACGTGGCCATTGACCACGGCTGTGGCCCAAGTGTTCGTAAGCTGCAGATCTTGGCCCAGTTGAGCATGCCCTCACCTGCTTTCAAAGTTTATATTATTATTTATATTTTTTTAATTACTTATATTTTTTTAATTACTTATATTTTTTTAATTACTTATATTTTTTAAATTACCAGGTGGCAGCGGCATTCGTGCAACCATGGTCTAGATGGTCATGACGGCCGCCTAACACGCGGCAGGTCCCCAGTTCGAGTCTGGGTGGTTGTAGTCGTATCTTTTCCACGACTGTCTTTATGACTAATTTTTTTCTTTCAGTTTCCTGGCACACAAGAGCATCCGTCAACCGGGAAAGTGACCACTTATCCACCACTGGTTGTCTGTGCTTGATAGCCTTGCCGCCTGTTCCAAGGGGTGGCACTGCAGGGGTGGGTTGCCTCAGGGGTTGCATTTTAACTATGTCAAAGCTGAATTCTATAATGACTTGTATGCAGGAAGCATGGTTCGGGGCTTGGCATGGTTGCCCACACCCGGCAGCGTTGTGTGCGGTCCTGTGTGTTTGGAAGCAAACTCTCCGCTTCGGCATGTCAGAAACCACTGGCAGGCTGTAGCAAGAGGAAGAGCAGGCATGGTTATGGCTACACAGGCTTACCAAATGAGAAAAATGAACAACACCTGCCTAATTGGCCACGATGTGAACCTTGGTTTGCCACAAATCTTTATTTTGGGCCACATGCTTCACCTAATCAGATATTTTTTTGTATTTTGGTGTCCTTGTATTAAAAAAAATCATTCGCGGGAAAAATGAATTGAGAAGACCCAGTGGTTGGTCGGAAGAAGAATTCCAGGCATCGCTTTTATAGAAATTGCAGCACAAGGGGAACCAAAAAGGACAATTTTTGGCCTCCTCCTTTCCAATTTTTGAATATGCCGGACGTCAGCATACATATGGGGTTTCAAACACGTTTCTTGGAAGTGAATAAAGGTCCCAGGGTGGAGCTGTGGGCTTTTTTGGGTGATCTTAGGCCAGGAGAGTGATGTGTAGACCTCCCATTTTCATGGAATTTTTGGTGGACATGATAACTTCTGGAATAATAATGGTTGGTATGGAAAGATTTGAGAAAGAAAGTTGAAAAGAACACATCCAGTGTTTTAGGCCAGCCGACCCCCTGTGGTCTACCGTGGCAAAAGCATGGAGTGGACACGCAAAGCTCCAAGGACTGGGCGTACATTTGTTAGAGTACATAAAAACGTACATTGATACACAAAAGCATGGAATAGACACACAACAGTGTAAAATGGCCATGGCATGCTGTCTACGTTGTTAATGCACGCACTTGCTCCCACTGCACCTGCTTGTGCAGCCTGTCAGTAGCGGGTCTGCATGGTGCTGGAACTGACACCAACGCTGGCGCTGGCACTGACAGACAAAATCTTTCAGGACTGGGTCTGCATGGTGCTGGAGCTGACACCGGCACTGACCTGACGCTGGGTGTGGATTTCTCTCCTTGTGCTAGATGCTGAATGTAAGTTTCACTCCTTGTGCTTGATTATGGGTTGGTATAAATTGCTCCCAAAATCAGCAGAGGGTTATGGAGTTTGCGCCTGAAAATGATCTGAGGAATATGCCACCCGCTCTGATTTAGCTCTCTAATGATTTGGCATTACAGCTGGGATGTGCGCATGCCAAGTGTGTGGAGTGCTGAAGATTTACAAGAGGGCAGTGAGTTCAAAAGCCAATTTCAGAAAAAGGCAATCATGCTTTTTAAGGCGTTTTCTTGGTGTGAAGAGTACTGCCACGAACTGGCCAGTGCTGAGAGAGTGTGGCCAAAAGCCTCTGCTCTCCTTTTGGTTTAGGTCAACTGTTAAGTTTTTAACAGTATGCTTCATTCAAACAGTGAGACATTACGTAGAGTGCTGAATTTGGATTACACTTTGCTAATAGGGAAGAGTCTTGTTGGCCTGCACATGTGTCTACAGCTTTTAGTGGCATGCGCCATGGAAGGATACGTTCAAGCAGAAGATGCTGAGTGCATTAAAATTTGCAGGATTCTTGGAGGATTTGAGGTACAAACAGCAGGAAGTAAGAAGGGAAGTGGATGCACTTAGCCCCCCTAGGTGAACAGGAAAGCAGAGACTTACCATCATTGGTGCGGAAAACCTTTAAATCAAACAGCACGCACACCCTTCTGTGTCCAAACACATTTATTTAAGGATCTGGGTGAAGGACTCATGAGGAGTGTTAGTAGGTTTAGGCTTCGTGCCCACCGCTTGAAGAGTAAATGTTTAAATTTTCAAAATTTTGCCAGAATTTGTCCAATTTTTGATGCTGGATGAGAATGTTTCACGAGCAGCTGATGAGCCAGAGCCTCGGGCTGTAGGCCAACCACTTGTAACCCTTGTAATCCTATTTCCTACAATCCCCTGAGATGCCCTGTAGCGGCCTCTCTTCAGGTCTGCATGACCAGGCCTGTGTTGAGCATGCATATGGGATTTCAAAGCATCTTTGACTTCTGGAGGCACCCAACACAAGGGGGAGGGTGGGCCATTTTTCAAGTACAAACAGGAAAACAGAGACAACCTTTTATGTTCCTTCCGGCTTGGAAAAAGAACATGATAACCAACCCCTACTGCAAACTTTTAACTGCCTACCCCCGCCTCTGTTACGAACTTGGAATCATACCTCGCGATAAACTTGATTACAATGCCACTCAATCCTGCCCTTAACCAAGAGGTACCTTTACCTAAACATACCTGGGACCTTCGTATCTTTGCTGTTTGGAAAACTGCAGCTTGAATCCATCTCGACAACCGTAACAAAGACTGGCTACAGGGCTTGAAAGGAGATTTGAAAGAAGCCAAAGAGTGAAAGCTGGCAAATGTCAGCAGCCACCCTGTCCTAATTTGCATGCATGCCCACATGCCAGGTTTCAATAAACTGGAACGCCTCCCATTTGAGAAACAACACATCTCCAAGCACCCTAGAAATTCACACATGAGTATCTAAGGTACAGACTTAATGCCCAGCTAATCCAGTACTCTCCTAATTCTCAAAGTTGCTGATTGGAGGACGTGGGCATACACAGATGGCAGCTGCCTTGTCCATAATGGTAAGCAAGAAATTGGAGCAGGCGTCTACTGCCCCCCCACTGACAGCAAGATCTTTGTAAAACCAAATGGTGCCGGGAATACTAAAACCATAACTCGAGCTGAATTAGCAGCAATTGTTGCTGCTCTTATCACCAAATATGCAGTTATTGCATCAGGCAGCCTCACCTTTTTCAATCAAATACGTAAACAGCTTCTCTATCCTGAAAAATATCTGAGGCATATCCAAGGAGAAGTCCTTAAAATGTTACAAGGTACAGGGGAACAGAACCATCAGCCAGAAAGTTTGGCTGCTCAGTGTGGTGAAAGAAATCCAAAAGAAATCCTTAGAATGTTTCAACACTGATTAGAGACTTCCATACCAAAATTCGAATTTACAAAATGAAGTCCCTTGCTGGCATCACTGGAAATGAATGTGCAGATGACATTGCAAAGCAAGCCCAGAACTACGTGGCAAACACCAAGATCCCTGGTGCAGGTCCTGGTGGAATCCATTTACAACTATTTTTGGGTCAACCGAGGAAGAAAGAGAGCATGCTACAGGCACATCTACGGGTCCACCACCCGCCCACAAGCTCGCCTATCTCCCCAATCTTCAAGATGCTCACAAATCCCACATGCATTCTAATCTCAAGCTTGGAGATGCCAATGCCGAAACAGTTTACTCTTACCATCAAAACTTATTACCACAAGTAGATAAACAAATCAGCAACGCATTCAGAAGTATGCCCAATATTTCTGTGCCCATGAAGCGTACCATCCTGCAGTATCGCACAGGCACTCTCTACAACCAAAAACATGCATTGCGTTCTGAAAGGTCAACTGATCCATCTTGCCCCCCCCAGGCTGCCATCATTTGGACAGCGCACTAAACGTGCGCTTAGGCTGCCAAAATCATATTATCCCCAACATGAGAACTGAACGCCATAACATTGCAGGCAGAATTATTACAAAAGCCCTCAGCAAATGCCCTGTAGGGGCAGGCCCAGTATACACAGACATACCGTACCCGCATGTGACCAATACGCACCCTCTTAAAAATTAATTAGTTATAGACACACGCATCACTTCTGCACACACAGAAGGAGTTATTTTTTTCAAATACGTGCACATACGCAGTGCCAAAGGGCCTTAGCCCCCGTATACACACATGTATCCCCACACCACCCACCTACACGTACACATGTATCTGCAATATTTGCATGTGAGCACGCG